AGGGATGAAATCATTCATTACAAAGGCTTAAACAATGTCAGGTGTAAAGTGATGATTAAAATTCAGTTGACGTTAAAAGAGAGGGATAATAATCACTTGGTTTTATTCTCCAAGAAAAACTATGGTACTTTGTGTGACGTGCTAAGGAAACAGCGGTAAAAGAGCGATTCTTCAGCGCTTCGCCCGTGAACAGAGGCTAAATTAGATATCAAAGATAGGATCATATCAAATTGTCATAAATAAACCTCTTTACGGATAGTGGACAAGAATTGAGTTCATTGAGACAGGCATGGGGTTCCTCAAATATAATGCTGGGGAGCAAAGAAACGAATTACAATCGGCTGTATATGACATAATTAAACTATTTCTTTCTCGTTTGACCTTGGTCTTCTTTTTGACCGTGCTTCTTGTTACAAATTCCCCCAATTCTTATTTTCATTCTTATTTTACTCCTCATTTTCTATCTTTTCTTTTTCTTCTGCTCCTAATTTTTCCCGTTTCCTGCTTTGCTATTTCATGTACCTCTATTTATCCATATCTTACTCTTCATTTTCCTGTTTTGCTCCTCTAACTTTCTTCTTATCATTCTTTTTTCTTCCTCTTTTCCTTCATTTTTATTCGCCATCTCCTTTTTCTCTTTTCTTTTATCGTTTTCTGTTTCAAATTTCGTTTTCTCCTTCTTCCTTACTAATATGTACTGTCGGGACACCTTATGCTGGTGTTTTGTTTTCATTGCGTTCTGTTACATAAATCTCAACGTCACTTGGACAAAAAAAATTTGTCATAGGTTAGCTGCGACGAGTGAGCGTCTAAAGGTTTTTTACATTAATCCTTTGGCTTGAACAGCGATGATATTTCTTACCTGTAGAGAGTTCAGTCATGCTGAAGGTACCCGCCTTTGAATATTCGGTCTCAACGCTTGTCTAGTGGTTACGCTAACTTGCTTAAGGAAAAAACAGCATATACGCATTGATCGAAGTTCTTCGTTACCATGCTAGATTTTGTGACTCCAGACTTTTCGTTAATCTGAAAATTGCACTGAAATTTTTGAAGCGGTAGGCACCTGATGCTAAAGTATTAGACCACATTCGATGAACAACCACTTTTTACAGAGTCAGACGCATCACTGATGTGAAAAGCAGCAGATAGATTTGTGAAACAGTTGTTAGATTGCCTGATCTCGCCTTTATATTTTTCATTGTGTTTGTAGTGATAACTATTTTATGTACAGTTTCAACACCTTATTTGATAAATAAGAACTTCTCGTGTGATAACACACAACATGCGATAATATACGATTATGTGCGTGAGTATTAAGTTAGGTTATAATAACAGTAGCAACCCTGTTTTGGTCCGTACTTCATGTACTTCTGTCATCAAGTCTGTACTCATTCATCGCAGCTGATATCGTTGTTTATTTTTTATCACTGTCTAACTGCATAATAAAACTTTACAGCTTGACGTTTCTTGTTACGTAGTTAAGTGTATGGCATTCCTTTCTTGAAATTTCCATTACCTAAGAAATCATTTTGAGCTGTAAATGTAAGATTTTCGTCTGAGATTAAACAAAACATGAACATTGCAGTCGTCTAGACAAGTTATATAAGACTCTGGTTTTATTATTACTTGTCGTGGTTTTGCTAAATAAGTACAAATACGCTTAATCATCACAGTGCTGAAAATGGCCGTTTGAAATGATTGCGACAGTTATGGAATAAATGTTTAATAATTGACAAAAATCCGCTACTGAATACTACTATATGATAATTTAATTATACATAATGTCCCCAGTTTCTCGAGTTATATTGATGTTCGTGTTATGCGTTACTTTGAGCGGTTTAGATAAACAGCATATCTGTGATATCCGCTGCATATGCAGTTTTTAAACATTTTATGATGCGCCTGCTACTGCAGCATGGAAGAAACCACTTCACTCTGAGGGCAGACCTTCCTCTACTTTGTTTCTCCATGTTGCATGCTGATGGAGGTCTGCCGTGTTTCGAGTCCCGCATGAAAAGCTCGTAGTTTGGAGTAAACGGTTTATGCTTAACCAATTTGTCAAACAGAGCCACCCTCTTTTTCTTATTCTTCGCATCTGTCGAAGTCGCCTATACCCGAATCATACTTAATTGGTGCTGAAGGAGTAAAATCAGGCAAGAATCGTTGCAAGACTTTTGAAGACTAATCAAGTATGATTGGAAACATACTTGAAAGAACAGTATAATAAACAATATTCGATGCGATTCCATAATTAATTTTTTTGTTTATTTACATTCTCACAAGATTGTGCACCTGTTGAAAAAGCATTAAATAAAAGTTATGTAACAGATAACTTCGACATGGATATGTCTTATCTTCGTCGTCAGCACGGCAGATTTAGCATTACTTGTAGAACGTATGAGCTCATTATTATGATAAATTATGCCAGTTTTGACATAGTATGTTTTATTCGTTGTTTTCCGATTATTCTATTTCTTGTTTTAATTTTTGTCGGAGGCGGTTTTTCTAGACTTCATTTATTTAGCAACAGCTTTAACACTACACCCTGTGATAAGATAATAATCGTTCAAATAAAATGCAAATGACACTGCGCAGTGTTCAGAAAAACATTTCGAAGGGAGATCTGAGTGACAAGATTCGAACCTTGGGAACAGGTTCGCCGGTGACATTCTAACTGTCATTCAATTTAAACGAGCTGGTACGTTGATTACACGTTTGGCTTTTGCTACCCAAGTTGTTCAGCTATTGCTTGATTAATGGTTCGGTGTTTGACCGGTTCCGGCGACACAGATGACGTTTTTCAGATTGCTTGAGTGTCTGGAAAGAAAGCATGCGAAGTGATGCCGAAATGCTCCGTTTTTCGGTTTCTCAGTCTACTTGACATTCCGCTATTTTTTCCTAACCTTATGGTTTTTATGATACAGATGTTGTCACAGTTGGCACTGAATCTTATATACTACGTTCATTGTTTCTCTTGTTTACACCTGTGACACTCGGCAGCGATTCCATAGAGAAAAGTATATTTCAGCAAGTACACACTCCGTTGCTAATACAGTCATCATTACCCGAAGATGGTCCCTTCTTTAGTGTTCATTATTGTCAAAAGGCTAATGACGTTCCAAGATTGGACAGTTTCTTTCTAGTCGTGTGTCAGCTGCCCAGTCTGACGCGAGGTTCGGATGGTTCCTTCTCGGTCACGCGCCGTGGGTGAATCAGCGAACATCTGTGGTTGTTATTAGCCTGACTCGTACGCAGATTAAAGAGTCAGCACGTGCCTTTGTTGTTTGTGCCGATTATGAAACTGTATAATCAGTTCTCAGGTGGGGTCAAGGCGAATTTCATCCTTGTTGGACGCTCGCATCAGACAGCGTGGCAGTACCTTCGTACCTCTCGCCAATTCTGGTATGATCGCACCAGAGCACCACGTTGTTCCTGTTGTTTGCAACTCAGACACTTGCTACCCGTTTATCCGTTAATTGCTTTCAAGCAGTGCTAAACAAATTTTTCCGAATTTGCGATTAAGGAATTATGTTAAACTTCTAATCCCGCATTTCCGAAGTGCGAAGCTGACCTCTTACCACAGTGCTGCAGTCCATTAAGCTTGATGCTGTCCCTCTAAACGTGATCTCTCTGTTCTTTCCATTAATCCTGTGATCTCAAAGCGCTTCATAATTTGTAGTTGATTGGAAAACATTTTTTGTTTAGGTTGCATCATATTTTGCCAGAAACTTTGGCAATGAACGAATGAGATGGCTTCAGTGGAATTGTGTTATTTTTACGTTTATCTTTAATACTAAGCTTAGGCTATTGTAAATTCTTTTTTCAATAATCTATTTTCACTGCAGCCAATTTTTAGGCCAGTGTCTCAATCTTCTGCTTCTTCCCCGTACGATGAAGCGGTAATAAGCCTCGTTGCTTACTTAGGTATCAGTGCTGTATGCTTGGAGATTCAGAACTTAAATTTCAGTAGCTGTGACAGTCTTTAGGTTTTAATACGGTCTCCAGTGGGAACTATTTGTCTTGAACCATGAATCAACAAAAGAAAAGGATTTGTCGTTGTTCAGACTTACTGCCAGTCGATACCTCCCTCCATACCTGTTAAGCATTAAACATGTTTCTGCTAATATTTTATGTTATGACTGATAATATTACTGCTAATCTGTGGGTGCAAAACGTAGACCATGAGACTAAAAGCTTATCATAAACTGCAGCATACACAACGCAACATAGAACGATGCATGTTGGGAATAATAAGAAGAAAATAAAATAGAAGACGAATGAATAGGTACGATTACAAGCAGGAATCTGCGATGTTACTGCGCGAGTAAAGAAGCCGAAATAACATTGGGTTAGGCATGTTGCTAAAAGAACCGACCATTGTTTGACACCAGAGGGACGTTAGATTGGGTTCAAAGAGATTGAAAATGGCCTTTTTAAGGACCTCTATATCGATGACAGGATGATCTGAAAAGCTTACTCGATAAATATAGCCGAAAACAAAAATCTGTGGCAAAGTCCTGGAAAGGTGTTCATCCGAGAGTAGATCGATTAGGGCTGGTGATGAAGACTGATAATAATATCATGTTATAGCTGATGGATTATTTTATACTTTGATAGTGATGCTGATAAATGACATAAAACGAATATCAACGGTTTATTTAATGATAAGATATTGACTGATTAAGTGGTATTCATTTCTGAGGCAAAGGATATGAACTCTGCATTGATTATATGATTTTCGTCGCGCCCGTCACCAAAAAAGCGGTAAAGCACTCATATGAACCGAAAGTTTGCCGAACGCAGGAACCGTTTACCCAGAAGAACACTAGAGAAATACGTCTGTTATGCGGTTAGCCAATAACCAATAATTTTTTGAATGAGTAAATTTTGCTTTACGCTGTTATTCCGTATGTCTTGATACTTTTTACTTATGATGTTTTGTTTTGTGTCTTGTTAACGACTTTCGAATTCACGTTGAATTTGTTTTTTCAGGTTCGCAAATGGCGGGCGCTGCAGAAATTCAGATATTTCTTTCCGAGGCTCACAAGGATGAGGAAAAAGCTATACGTCACATGACAAATTTTGGTAAGTAGCATTGCATGGTCTGCGTTCGCTGCATCATATATAGTAAGATTCGCTATTAATAGATGTGCAATTATTAATAAACAGTACAAAGATGGGGTGTCATCCTTTTTAAGGAAAAGCCGCAAAAAATATTTAGAAAATTTCCGAAAGGAAATGCATAAAACTTCTTAAGCAGGGAATGGCAGTAAACAGCAGTGTTAACCTATTCTTATGGTAATGTGTTTTTATGATTAGGTTAATATTGTTTGGAAAAGTTTCACATAGTTACCCTGAAGATGGACCGAATTTGGTCTGAAATGTCAATGCTTCTTGTAAGATGTTTTTATTTGAAAATTTGATACGTTATTATCCTGTGTGACTTGCTCAGCGAAATGTCATCTCCGGCATAAGCAACTCATGCACTATTTTTTAATAATAATATATCATAATGTAATTAATGGTATCGCAATTATGTTGACATAATATTACTTAAAATTACATCACTTTAAGAATAAGTTTAAATTGGTTTCTTATTATTAGTTATTGAAATTACGCCCTAATGATGCTACCGCTTGTAACGGAACCCGCCGGCAATAAAACTGATAAGATCAGTGTTTGGTTCCTTCAGCCATTCATTGGCAAACATTCTACAGTTTGAACAATGAAATTCTGAACATTCTACAGAATCGAAATGTTATATTTAAATCGTTTTCTGTTCTTCGCTTTTTTTATACTTTCTCGCTTCGATCGATTCTGATGTATAAAAGTGTTTGTAAAATGATGTATTTTTAATATTACTGTTGCCCCTACAAAGTCCAGCTTCCGCTGCCTCAAAGTGGTAGAAGGGTGACCACGGCTTCTCAACACGACGTACGCGTTTCTTCTAGGTTCTGGAAGGTTCAGGCATGCCGTGAAAGCGTCAGAAATATAGCTGTGGCCTAGTGAAAAGAGCAGTACTCAGCAGCATGGTGAATTATCGCCTCACCCTCTAAGACCACATCGCAACCAGACCAGCAACTCTCCCCAGGGGCTGGGTTGCGGCTGGCAAAGGCAGCAACTAATCAGGCATGAAGTCGGTGCGTGCAGAGTATTTCCGAGTGGCGAATTGGAAGTATAGCGCTTTATTAACGCTGGCAGTGTACAACTGAAGGCTACTTAAAGGCGGAAAGCGAGACAAGACTTTAGGAGCTGTAAGAGTAACTTAGTATAATCAGGTAAGACATTGTCAGACTCAGCGAAGTTAGAAAAAGAGATTATGGGCTGTTAGGGCTTAGTTATGGGCAGTTTTCATCAACGAAGAGATAACTGCTGTAGAGGATTCTTCCATTTCAGTTTCCAAACCGGTTTCTTTGGACAATGAAGAGGATGTTCGAAAGAAGGAAGAAGTTATTCTAAAATTGGGTAACATGTTGGCCAAGCGGAAACAAATCGATGGTATTTTTCTCCTTTGTCATTGGTCGTTGCTGGTAATTGTAGCTTCCACTTTTAGCCCTGAAACAAATGATTCAACACACTAGGCCTTTCCTGGTGTCGCTCGGTAAGGCAAAAGCAGCGAAGCTCGTGCGCAATCTGGTAGACCTGTTTTGTGGTATGGAAGCTACTGGTAGTCCAGAAGAAGTGAAGAACCTGCAAGACTTAAAGGTAATATGTCGCTCTTTGAAGAAATGCCGTCACTTTAGTCAAATTAGTTTAAATCGTTCTCCCAAATAATTAGGCATTGTAAACTTAACCATGTTTTGCAACAAATTAGCGGATTACTCATTATACTTTAATTCGGCAGATATATCGTATGAAACTTTGGGTTTATTTTCGATAGCGCAGGTTAAAGTAAAGTGCTTATCTTCTCTGCACATACACGACGTTAATCGCACCGTTCCCTTTCTTCTAGAAATCCACTGGATATAATCCATGGATTACATTCCCACCGAGGCGTGGTTTATTTAAAAGGACATTTTGATTTCTAGAAGCAACGGAACGATCCATCTGACGCGGTATAAATCGGGATATGGAATGCGCTACCATATACTGATGTTACCTTATTAAAGTCATCATGGGTAATCTCAGTTCTTTGAAAGGCTTCTAAATGAATTCGCACAACGGAAATTTCCGTTAATAAATTAGTTGTAACTCATCCAGTAAATATTTTTAGAATTCTTTTCAGTTTTGTGCCTTCTTTCTCTGAACGACTCTAGGATTCGATTGTTAGAGGCAGAGCGGCCGCGAGCCTATTTGCTTTTGTAATGACCAGTGTTCTTTGTTGCCGACAGTTATGCGATCATAGACTTGATAACCAAATGACAGGTGAAGAGCTGAGTAGCTGATAGTCTTCCATATCTGTAACCAGGGCCTCGTGGCTGATTGTTTTCAATGGCTGCATCTGTTATATTTATGTTAATTATTTTGTTATCTTGCTTATTCTAGCAGCTTTAATTATCCGTCTTTTAGGAAATTGCTTTGTAGTGCTTTTCTGTGATCAGCGTTCTAAATACGGACATGTTTTAGGTGGAATTTTGCAGGGAATGCATTCAGTGGGCTCGTGAACAGAACCGAGTGTTTCTTCGGCAAACTTTAGAAGCGAGGCTGGTAAAATTATACAACGAAGTGGAGAAGTTCGAAGAAGCCCTTAACCTTGGTATGCTATGTAAATTATTTTAATATCGTAATATGTACAGAGATTTTTATTGAATTTGAGCTGTTTTTAGTAAAGAATATGTCTAATGATAATAGAGAAAAAGAAAATGGAAAATAGAGATAGCATGAAAATAAAAAAAAGTTAATGTGTAGCATTGATAGCTGTTTTAAAAAGCTACCTTTGATTAAAGCTGTTGTAGCAGCCCACTGCGCTGGTCTTTTGCACTCATCCTTCCTTCTCCAAATAATTCGAAGTTTTATATTAAGAATACAACGCGCCACCGTCTAAATATGAGTCTTTATTGCACTACAAAGTATGCAGGCTCTTAATTTATCAGCACATCATTCATGACAGAATTTTTGGTCGCGACGTCTCACTAACCTGCTGTAGTTGAAATGTCAGTATCACCATATGCGATACCGTATTGACAGTCATATAATTTCTGACCTCAAAACGCTACATGCTCGCATTCTGCCGGATTGTACATTTTTTCTGATTACTCACAGAAGTATGCCTAAGCTCCTACTAGTTACTCTGTGTATTAACAATGTGCGGTTGGCAATTGTGGCTCACGATGCCCTGAGGGAAAAAGCGGTGCTATTATGCATCATGGATCCTCTGTTTTATCACTAGACTAACTTAGGAAAGTAGTCTCGTGCATATTAAGTATTGCCAACAGTGGTACATTCCGATTTCTGGGGTCTGTTTCAGATATGATCGTATATAATGATTTTGGCTGTACTTCGAGTTGTAATTTAAGTAGGCCATCAGAAGTAATAATTTACTGTATTTGAGTGAAATAAGGCGATACGGTAATTGTTAACAGATAATTTTGGCGGTGGTAACATCATAACTGTACTTATAATAGTTAGAACCATTTATTTCATAGTATCTTTTGTTGATTTGTCTATCTTCCATGCATCCTGTAATTTTGCAGCATATCCGTTTGTGAAAGAACTGAAGAAAATGGACGATAAGGATTTGATCGTCGAGGTGCAACTTGAGGAAAGCAAGGCTTGCTATGAACTAGGCAACTTGACCAAGGCCAGGGCGGCTTTGACTTCCGCGAGGACGACGGCGAATGCCATCTACGTAAATCCGGTCATGCAGGCAGCGCTAGACATGCAGTCAGGTTAGTCTTTTCTTGAAGTCCGTTTACTCCATGATCAAAATTTCGTCTTCTTGCAGGAATACTTCACGCCGCTGAAGAGAAAGACTTTAAAACGGCTTTCTCGTATTTCTACGAAGCGTTCGAAGGTTACGACTCGGTTGACCATGCGGAAGCCTTGAGCGCGTTGAAATACATGCTTTTGTGCAAAATCATGTTGAACCTGTAAGTTATTCGGTTGCATTTGCCTCAGTTTTTGTTTGCCGATTTATGGGGTTGTTCATCGTCAGCCATTGTTTTAGCCCCGATGATGTGCAGTCGTTGCTTTCAGCGAAAATTGCGTTGAAATACGTTGGTCGAGAGGTGGACGCGATGAAAGCCGTCGCTGATGCCTCAAAGAAACGGTCACTGGCGGATTTCAAGGAAGTGAGTTGCTGTGTTGGTTTATTATTTTATCTCCGGGGCATCCTAAGCGCAAAATTCGCCGCTGCTTTACTTTAGGCGTACTGTAAATACAAGAACGAACTTCAAGCAGACCACGTCATAAAGGCGCATTTCCAGACGCTGTATGACCGGATGCTCGAGAAAAATCTATGCCGAATTATAGACCCGTTTTCCAGAATCCAGATTTCACACATCGCTAAGGTCATATCTTTACCAGAGGTAAATTGTTTTGCTAGTTTTTCTTTAGTTATTTGAAATATTTGGTTTATTCTCATTGCACTCATGAAGAAGAATTGTTCTGTGAGTGGTCTACTATCGCGATTAGGGCACATCTGAAAACCAGGAAGTCTGACTCAACCAAATCAAATGCCACTAATCAAAGTAACAATGGAATTCAAATTTTTTCTGTAAGCTTAAATCACTTTAATGCCTATCTATTTTTTATAAAGGGTGAGTCAAAGCGATTGTCAGGATACAGAAAATTGGAGTTGCATGGTTACTAAAATTTGTAGTACGTGACCTAGATGAATTATATTTCTTAGTTATGTTTCGTCACTAGTGGTGTAAGTTTTGTCACTTCCGCTCATAGCGTAGTTCATTTCCACGATTGCAATAAATTGACACCCCAGGCTAGAAAAACATTGTATGGGGACTTTTCAAGTTTTAGGGAAATGTCTAATATACCACTGACAAATGCGCATCACGAACGAAGTCACCTAATGTTGTATACTTATCCCTATGAAAATGATGCCCCTATTGCCCAGAAGAAATGCAAATTCTGGAAATGGAAGTGGATAGTTTTTTTTGTTATTTAAAATTTGCGTTGATACCTTGTGCTGATTGTGAATCAGTTATCAGATGGGCCAAAGCGAACTGCAGTCGGAAGGCATATGGATCAGAAGGTACCGCCATATGTCTCCCAAACTTTGACATGATCGCGCCATGCTGTACCTATTATTCGCAGATCACTGATTCGCCGGTCGTTTTTCAGCTGGTTATACCGAAGCACGGCGGGCAAATTCCTTGCTCGAGGGAATTAACCGTTAATGAGAAGTAACCTGTGTCTCTCTTTGGATTTGAACCCGGCAGTCAACATGTGGCCAACCAATTGCGCTACTGCCTGCTTTCATGCCGTTTAGCACATGATATGCGGAAAGAGCAGGGTCTTCATTCTACATAAGATTGCTCTAAAGCACAATGTATCCTTTTTCCTTCTGTGGCTGATAATAGGATGATGCTTAGGATTTACTTTTTGGAACGTATTTACTAGATCCACAAAGGAACAGTGGTCCATAAGCTACTCCGTGTTCAACAGCTTTCTCCTTATCTGCTCTTTAAACTTGCAAGTATTCTGCCTATAAGTTAAAAAGTTGTTACTCCAAACTGTCACATTATTTATGATTTACTAGAATTTATTCCCATCTTATTCGTTTAAAAATTTTAGTCTACTTGAATTTTAGAATCAGGTCGAGAAAAAGCTGTCACAAATGATTCTGGACGAAAAATTGCACGGTAATATGTGAAATACATTTTCTTGAAAAATTGTTTTCAATTAACTTAATCATTTAATGTTTACTCATTCATTTGGTGCTCGCTGTTTCTGAGCCGTCGATAACTTTTTTAGCTGCATAATTATTGTTAGAATTTTCAAGGTCGGATTAAATTGTTGATGCGACCAACGTTTTGGTGGGCTGAGTAGTCGCATAGTTGTTCCCATTCATTGCCTGTTAAGTTTCAGAAAATGCGCTTTTGCACTGCTTTGAATGAGCGGCAGTGAAATACACGAGGGAAAGTAATCCGACCCATTGTGCTCATTGTTTCCAGTACATTGGAATTATCAAGTGACAAGCTTGCAGTACAGGGGATGTTCATCATTGCGAGAATAAGAAAATGGTTTTGGAGACAGGGTTACCATGATGCATTCTAGATATACATAGAAGTAGTGATGTTTTGGAGATCAGCTAGTCTAAAGTCGATACGCCATAGAACAAAAAGAAACTGATGGGAACCTTCCCCTTAGATATCTTATAATTTGTTCTAACAAAGTCTTCGACAAGACTTTCATAGAGGAGTCGACCGACAAAAGCGATCTCGCTCTGAACACCTTTTCTTTGTGGTGTTGTTTCGCAAATACGGCTGTTTGGCTACAGGTCATAAACAACATCTGAGCAGCATTCAACGAAGGGGCTTTGAATTGCTATAAAGTCCAAATGATGCAAGTGCCTCAAAGAAGATATATCCCAATTGGCGATAGGCGAAGGAAACGCGATTTTTGAGAAATTGAAAACTTAATGAAAATGCTCATTCACAGGCGGGCAGAGTCTGTCAAAGCCAGTGGCATTTAAGACAACTTAGCATAGAACCCTTAAACAAGGATAAGCGTTATTATTTTAATTCCTCTACTCTTTTTCACTCCTTTTTTGAAATATCTGGATGCAGTCTTCTCGTTCAGATAACACTAATATTGCCTTTCTAAAGAAACATTTGAAAGCCTGACAAGTACCCTCAGCCTGTACTCTACTAGGCAAACTGTCTGTTGCACAGCACATCAAATTAATGTTGAATTTGAAGCAGTAATTAGGTCCCTGTCCCCTCTGGCTTGTAATTCCAAATTTTTGCCACCTTTTGTCCTTTGCAAATGTGAAAAAATTGCGGTTTCAATCAGTTCCGTAGCACGCGGTAGGATCTTAGTAAAATGTTTTATTATCGTCGAGGCATGGAGGGCGGAAGTATGTTGTATCATATTTCATTCAATAATTGGATTACATTCGGATCAGCATTTCTTTATGGATCATTGAAAACTACCGTTGTTCATATGACATATGTTACCCATGCCCAGGAAAATTGCTTTGATTCTAACAACAGGCGACGTCACAGTAGTCAATCGATACCATGGCGAAGCGAAATTGTTGATCCAGGAATTACCAAGTATTGTAACAGGTTGAAACAAAACTTCGCTCTGTGCTAAATACTTAGTTTTTTCTCACTGTAGGAATCAATCAATTAGGTGTTGAACAACACGAGAAATGTTCTGACAGACCGTTAAAAGTGAACTAACCTCATACAGGCATATAATTCGTTTTTGATTATTTGGCCTGATATTAACAGATACCCATTCGGTCGAAACGCTGGATAGGTATTAAAAAATGTGAGTTATTTATGCTGATAGCCAAGCGATTTAATTTTTTCCTGCTTGTTTTGCGAATTAAATTTTGCGTTGTTTAGGCATTCTTGACCAGGGTGAAGGTATATTGATAATATTTGATGACGTGACCGTCGACAAGACGTATGCTGCAGCTATTGACACAATACATGAACTAAATCACGTCGTTGACTCCTTATACCGGAAGGCCAAGAAACTATCATAGCACATACCGTAATACCAACTTCATGTAGAATTCGTTTATGTATTAAAATTTTTATAATCGGTCGTTTTTTATCACATTTGAAATCTGTTAACTCTTCTTTCAAAAATACAGTGCAGGATGAACTTTTAACCACTTTGCTTGATGGATGAGAAAAATTTGGCACCTCTTACACCACGTAGATAATCAAAATACGAAAGGTGACAAGGCTCGTAAATTCATATCATCATTTCATGACAAAGTTTGTCAGTTGTCACAATGCCTGTAGAGATGACAAGGAGATATATTTGTTTGATATCTTTGTTTGTTTTCTTCTGTGACATTGGACTACTACATTGCCATTTTCAGATTCTAGTTTTTTAGTTAAGTGACAGCGTATCCAACGCTTGCTACTATGGGTTTCAGCACCAGATAGTCTGAGACTGTAGCAGAGTCCTTCGACATACTTTTCCCAGATTATTGTTGGTTGTCTCCGAGGTCTTCGGCCAGTCGATTGACCAAATAGCAAGTAATTTTACCTTCCTTTCTGAAAGCATTTACTAGACGCATTTAAAACCATCGCAAGGGCGAATGTGGATTTCGAGGTGGATTTCTGTGTGCAGCCAATTGTAATCACGGGACAACGAATCTTTACATGTCTTTGAAGCAAGTCTCAATAATAGAGGAATATTCAAGAAAACGGGACAAACGGTTTTAGAGCCTCTTTATGAAAGTATACAAATGTGAGTTCTTTTCCTACCAATGTTTGGGCACGGATGCATGTATGTAACCAAACTACGCATCGGATGGGATGTACACAAACACGTGGTTTGGAATTGCAAGCTTATACCTTATAAGCTTTGATCCAATAGCGACGCTGAGTTAATTCGCATAGATTTCGATGGGTACCTAATGTATGTGTTCAACTTTATTCTCTGATTGAGGATTCTCCTGTGATTTACATCAGGTAGTAGGTAACGGCAAAAAATGCATGAAAATATTTTCGAACAAGCAATGATATATTGTCCCTCGTATTGTTCCAAAAGTTTTACCTACTTGAGAAACTGCAAATTTACAGATCATCGATATAGTTTTCACAAATAATCTGATCCTAAAGTGACTTGTGTAACGCACATGCTACGAAACACCTTCGAGACTAGGCTAGACAGGTGCGACTGTAGTGACGTTCAGGATTTCCGCCCACACCGGAAACGTGTCAAAAGCGATGTATAGGTTGGCCAACGTTTGACAGTGAATTGTAACGAACGCTATGCAGACGATGGATACGAAGAAACCTGCTCCAGCCTGGAAAGTAGGAACGGTAAAATGGTACAGTAATAAAATTATTCAAAGTATAGTTTCAACTTTAAATAATTATAAAAGAAAAAGTTTAATTATTTAGTCAATAGAAGCGTCGACAGGAAAATGAAAGATGTGTGAAGCGTTTCTAACTTTTATGTTCATTCGATTTGCCTATCCAACGGATGAACTGGGCAATATTCAAGTTCAGTGATACAAGCATTTGAATGCTCCACATGACTTGTATGGCTATATAATGCTTCGCAGACTCATGTTAAAAGCTATTCGAAGCTAAGACCGTATTTTTGACTTCAGTAGTATTACTAAAATTGCGGCTAATGAAGAACTTCGCCAAGACCAGATTTCACGACGTACTGCGCCGCTTCCTGCTCCTGGTATGTAGAGGGGGGCATTTAGGCAAACCCGAGATCAATGGTATCTGAACTCGTGCCTTGTCGGATGGATCTCGCATCATTTTGTTCGTTAGAGCCATTTCCCAATAATCACGAGCGATATTTCAGTACTGGTACTCTTTGTATGCTACCGCATAAGCATTATATGCAGTCCGTGCGTTTGAGTATATTAAATACCGAATGAGGCTCCTTCAAGACCAGATTTCATGACGTATTA